TGAATTTATTTATTTATTTTTGTAGTAAAGTACACGTAACCTTAGCCAGTTTAACCGTTTTATTTTAAGTAATCTCTACCCCAGCTTGGAGCTTAAACTTCTAACCCTGAGATCAAGAGTCATGCAGTCTACCAACTGAGCCGTCCAGGCACCCCGTGTCTTATGAAATTTTTATTTTGCTCTGTTCTTTGAACACCTGTTAATATAGTCTTTCATTCTAATTCCATTTTCTCTTTTTCTGAATTAAAAAAAAATTTGCTTTACAATTTCTCTTCTTAGCTTTTGAATTTTTGAATCTGGGTACAAATACTTAATATAATTCAGTATTGAAATTTGTTTACGCCCATGGTTTGTTTTTGTTTGCACAGGTGATTGTTAACACTTGAAATGTTTTCTTTTATTCTGGTTTTGACTCCTAGCTTGGCATTGATGAGAACTATATCTTGTTGAATTTGGTTGTTGCCAATACTTTATAAAATTCCTAGCTTAAGAATAATTTCTTCTGTAGGTGAAACAAAGTGCAGATTATTTAATGGATAATTTTTTAGTAGTACTGAGGGAGAGTTGAGTGTTTTTGTTATTTAAGCTCCTCCTTTTCCCCCACTCTTAATTTTTCCTCCTAACATCCAGTTTCCAAAGGATGGCTCTACCTGCCTTTTTACCATCTACTCGTGTATTTGTTTTCCAAGGTGAGCTTCTTGACTTTTGTGTTTATACTAAGCTCCCTTAGGTGTAGTCAGTGCTCTGATCTACCAAATTCTTTATTATTATTATTATTATTATTTTTTAAATGTTTTATTTATTTCTAGGAGAGAGAGAGAGAGAGACAGCATGAGCAGGGGAGGGTCAGAGAGAGAGGGAGTCACAGACTGAAACAGGCTCCAGGCTCTGAGCTGGCAGTCAGCACAGAGCCCGACGCGGGGCTCGAACCCACGAACCGCGAGATCATGACCCAAGCGAAAGTCGGACGCTTAACCGACTGAGCCACCCAGGCGCCCCATTATTATTTTAACACTTAGTCCAATTCCTCTTTTCTCCCATGCATTTTTTTTGAACCCTCTAGTTCTTGAAGAGGACTTGGTATGGGAGCCCCAGATGGAAGCCACTAGAAAGTGGTTTTTACTTTTCTTCCTACTGGTAATTTGAAGTTAGTAATGTTCTCTCTCTTCTGATTTTGCTGGAGACATGGGATTTTTGTGGTTTTAATTGTTCTTAATATTGATCTGTTTGGGAGAATGTGTGGAGAGATTCAGATTTAGGCAACTGTCAGTACTTTGTTCTCTGCAGCCATAAAGATCTGCTTCTTGAGAACAATTAACATTTTTTATATGCTTTAACTAAAAAAAGCTAATTTTGAACATTTTCTTGAATCAGAAAAATATTGTGGCATGTAACATGGCATTTGACCTTTTAAAATGGCTGGGTTTTGCACATAAGGGACTTTGGAATTTTATTCTTTCAGATAACAGATCGGTGGAGTAGTTTTACTATTTTTCATGTAAATTTGAATTCCAGATTGTTCTTACACCTATGTGTGGGATGTCTATAAAGTTAGGTTAAAGTTACTACATAATATCTTCTAGTGCTTTAATGAAATAGTGAATTATTGTTACTTGACCTTTTGAAAAGGTCAGTAGTACATTTTGTTTCATTTTTTTAAAGGACATTTAAATGTAATGAAAGTCAGAACTGTAATATTATCATGAAAGTAAAGGTTATGGGGTACATTTAATTGTGTTCCTCTAGTTTTGAATCTGCTTTGAGGGAGCCTGTACTAAAATTCTCATGGTGATTATTTTTCGAGAATTTTATTACTCTTTTTCATTTTATATTGTTGGAGTAAAAGATTATATTTCTGTTTGTCTTTTTCTGCTTACCTTTGCTCAGATCATGTGTATTATCCTATTTAAGATAGAAAGTGTAAGCTGCTTACCCATTCACTTTCGCAAGAAAGTAACTGAATATATTTTTCAGAGGACAGTTCTTTCAGAGAACAGAAAGACTCTTGAGTAAAATTTGGTATATTCAAATGTATAGCTAGTGAATATTTAAATTAAAATAAATGTTAGTGATTTTATTTATTAAAGGCGCATGAATGTGGGAGAATTAAATGTTTTATGAAAATATTTCTCTCATGTCTGGTTGTTCAGATAATGAAACGAAATATATTTTCATTTTATTAAAATTAGGAAATTAAACGTTACAAAGCTGGTAATGTATCCTATGTTCTTATTTTACGTTGTGATTTTTTTTCTTCCATAGTCAAAGCAATTGAAGCAGTTTCTTTTTTCACAGATTTATTTTCTAAGAAATACTTGAATTTGTTTGCGTTAACAGTTTCTTTATTTCTTGTGACCTGAGTTGATTCTCTTTAAGAGTCTTTGTTTTGATTTCCTAATAGTTACAGAGTTTCTGACATTTTAAAGTTACTCCCTTCAAATATAGTATTTTATTCATTTTAACAAAGTAAAGAATTGGATAAAGTTGATACCTTTTAGAAAATAAAGGAAAACCTTGCTTTTTCTATGTGATTGGTTTTAAATGTTTAACTTCTATTTAACATTAAGCAGAAGATGAAAATTTGAGTGAACCTTTTCAATATTTTCCACAGGAACGAGATTTTCACCTTAGAATAGAGTTGCCTGAAGATTTACAAATGAAGAATGCAAGGTGACATGTTGTTTTGTTATATACATGTGTGTTGGTGGGATGGGCAGTCATTTAATCTGGTAAAAACTGATTCTAGCCATTATTTTGCCTAAAGTGCTTGTTAGTCAACCAGAAATGTTCCTGATTTTTTTCTAATTAGCACACACTTATAAGTTAGTTCCCCTTGTGCTGAAATACTTTTCAAAGGTAACACATTAATTCTCTAATTTTTTCTTTTCATTTAAGTAGTAAATAGCAGTTGTGTAAGGTACTGCTTGGTACAGAAAGCGCATCAATGAATACCGAGAGATGAGACCGGAAAGTAGGTAGCGTCTAAAATCGCATTTCTGGGGGCGCCTGGGTGGCACAGTCGGTTAAGCATCCGACTTCGGCGCATGTCATGATCTCATGGTTCGTGGGTTCGAGCCCCGCATCGGGCTCTGTGCTCACAGCTAGCTTTGAGCCTGGAGCCTGTTTCAGATTCTGTATCTCCTGCTCTCTCTGACCCTCCCTTACTCACGCTCTCTCTCTCTCTTTCTCAGAAACAAATAAAACATTAAAAAAATTTAAAATCTCATTTCTGTTATTAAACATCTCTGGGAGTAGAGTGGGTGAAGAATCCAGAGACATTATTAGTAGACTTGACAGGATTTTGTGACTTATTAGAAGTAGAAGATCGAGGGAAAGAGAAATGAAGGATGCTTTCCAAGTTCCTGGCATCACTAAGCTAGAGAAGAGGTTAAAGTGGAAAAGTAAGAGAGCCATTGTTTAAAGACATTGTCAGGTGTGAAATATCAAGAGGAGATGTTTAGTGTATTGGCATCAAAGTCAAGTGTGAGACATGGAAGTCACAGTAGGCATGGGATTTGGGGCTGTGAGTATGGATACTTTTCAGTTTCTGCCAAGTGTGGGGTGAAAAGAGAAAGCGAACAGTTAAAGGACTGGTAAATAAGGAGGAACTTGGAAGAAGAATAAGGATTGACCACAGAAGTTAAGAAGAAAATCTGGACAGTTATCTCTAAAGCCATGTAGAGGGTTAACGAGGAAATGGTTCACAGTACTGAGTATTGCAGAGGGATCAGGTTAAATAAAATATGAATAGGTTTCACGTAGTGGCAGAAGACAGTATGTATTGGGTTTAGGAGTGGCTAAGGGAGTAGAAAGGAAACATAAACTGTATAAAGTACAGTTGGCCCTTGAAGGACCCAAGGGTTAGGGGTACCAACCTCTCGTACACTTAAAAATTTGCATATAACTTTGGACTCTCCAAAAACTGTTGACCAGAAGCCTTATTGATAACATGAACAAGTTGTTTAACATTTGTATACTGTATGTTGTATGTATTATAGACTGTATTCTTAAAGCAGACTAGAGAGAGTGTATTAAGAAAATCCTAAGAGGAAATGTGTTTATAGCACTGTATGTATATTTATTGAAATGATCTGTGTGTAGTTCAACCAGTGTTGTTCAAATGTCAAGTCTATTTTAAAGAAAAGGAGTGTCTAGAGAAGGGTATGCAGTCAAGAAAGAGATGTAATGATCTTATTGTTTTAAGTTGAGATTTACTTGAACAAGTTAATATATTAAGTTGAAAAAACTAGAGGAAATAAAGATATCACCGTAAAGTGATAATTAATGAACTGATGGTCAACTTGGTGCCAAGGGATGGAGAGTATATTTAGAGAAGTTTTCTTGTGGGCAGTTGAATGAACTACTTTGCAATTAAGAGAGGAAATCGAGGGGAGATGCAGGTTAGCAGACCAAGAATGAGAGAGTCATGGTGGTCTGAAAAGGCAGTAATTGGGGAAACTCAGAGGGGCTTCCTACTTCAAGGTAAGGAAGAGTGCATCTTAGAAGTTACTTATCTAAGCAATCGAGAGCACAGTTGAGGTGAGCCAGTGGATAGATGAACACTAACTTACTACTACTTATGTAATTAAAAGTATCTTTCACATTAATCTTAAATTTGAAGATTGTATTGTTATATATGCTTTCTCAATGACAAGTTCTGTACATTATGATCAAAACTGTTGGTTTTATTTAACCTAACTTGGAGAAGAATCTAGTTCAATAGAACATTTTGCTTTGGATATGTTAGGAAAAAAAAAAGATTTACTGTTTGCATGTCGTTTACTGATGGCAGTTATTTATATTTTGAAATAAAATTAGTACCGACAGTTTGAAGACAAAACTTTCAACAGTATCAGTGGTAAAAATTTTATTAACTTGTCAGAATTATATTTATGTCATTCTTTTCTATGTACGTGCATTGTTTGTGCTAGCATACAAATAAGTTTTTTCCTTTTAATTGTGAACAATGAACAAACCATTTTGTTCCATTAAAATTTTAGATTATTATGTAGTTGGCAACTGAAAACAATACTTAATGGATACCATCAAATAGTACAACAGGTAAGTCCTTTAAAAAGTTTGTTTTGGGGTGCCTGGGTGGCTCAGTCGGTTAAGCGTCCGACTTCGGCTCAGGTCATGGTATCACAGTTTGTGGGTTCGAGCCCCTCATCGGGCTCTGTGCTGATAGCTAGCTCAGAGCCTGGAGCCTGCTTCACATTCTGTGTCTCCCTCTCTCTCTCTGATCCTCTCCTGCTCATGCTGTCTCTCCCTCTCTCTCCCTCTCTCTCTCCCTCTCAGAAATAAAATAAAGTGTTAAAAAAAAAATAAAAAGTTTGTTTTAAGCAAGGACAAGAAATGACTAACTCTTTTTTTAGAGGACTGTTTTGCAGAATGTTATAATAAACTGGTTTAATAGTTGCTGATTTTGTGGGTTTCATCTCTGTTACATATTTTAAGGACCCATGCATTATAGAAAATGTTTTCTGTCTCAGAATCCTTAGTACATCTCTAGACAGCATCTGTTCTAAGACTGATTTCCATCCTGGAGACTTTAGTGTCTTGAAATGTATTCACCCTCATCCATAGCCATCACTTTTTGAGAGATTTTTTTCTGCTAAGGCTGTATAGTGGTAGTGAGAAGAAATCCAGGACCCATTTAGGAATTATAGAGTATCTGTGGCAAAAATGGGATTGTAGTTCTAGATTAGGAACAGGAAAGATGTGGTGGAAATCACTTAGGATCATATATACGTACTTAGTGAGTGTAGATGTAAATACAGCATACGTGAAGTATAGGCAGGATTAATCCCCCTTTAAAAAAAAATTTTTTTTTTTAATCTTATCGTCCTAACTGGAAGTTTGTATTATGGATTACCTACATCTATTTCACCCTCAGCCCCAGTGTAGTTATTTTTGATATTTAGGTTCTTCTACCTGAAAATTAGAGAAACTTAAAAAAAAAGTCACTGTTACTAAAGAAACGAAAAATAAATGAAATGCCTCTTGTAGAAAAATAAATGTAAGTAGAACTGCATTTCCTTTGATGCTTTATTCATTTGTATGTTTTTCCTGATTTCCTCTATTCCTATATTTTTTCTATCTTAAAAGCAGGTTATTATCTATGATAACTGACAATGACAGTCACTCTCACATAAAGCATTACTGAACCACAAAGAAATATAGGAGATAAACTATTTGGTTTGTAGAATGTGGGCTGTCATTGCTGGCAGCATAATTACTGCAGTTTTTTAAGGGGATGTTTAAATTATTTCTCTGTTTTCTTTCCACTGCCGCCTCCTCATCCACTGTGACTATTTATATTGTATACTAGATTTTAAGAAATGAATCTATTGAGATACTTAAATAGCCTGGAAAAATTGTTAATAAAGACTAAGTATAATATCTATAACTGTTTTTCTCCACCAGTTCACCAAGAGGGTTTCTAGAAAAATTCCCAATTACTTGTTAATCTCTTTTCTGCCCTCCAGTGGGTCATATAGATCCAAAAATTCGTTTTTCTTTGTTTTATTCCAATACTACTGTTCTTTCCTTGTATCATTCTTAACTTTAGTAAGTATGGGTTGGAGAATCAGCAGTTTTTTTCTGTAAAGAGCCAGACAGTAAATTTTTCAGGCTTTGGTGGTCCATGAAATCTGTCATGACTACTTAACCTGTAGAGCCAAAGCAGCCATGACCAGAGGTAAATGAATGGGTGTGGCTGCATTTCGGTCTAACTTTATTTATAGAAACAGGTATTGGGCTGTGTTTAGCCTCTAGGCTGTCATTCACAGAAATTCAATATGATTTATTGCTCATTACAAGTAAGCTAGAGCAGGGCAGATATTGTATTAGAAGATGAGAAAGTCAAAGATTTATTTTACAGACTTGCTCACTCAAAGCTATGTTGTGATTCATATGTCTCATGCATTGTTGAAATATCTTAGATTATTATTTTCCTTGTCTAAAGAAGTGAACAAATTCACAGATGGGCTTTGTTCAGAACTGCATCATGGTACTGCAGTGTATCACAAAAAAGTAACAAAAAATACAATATTTTGATTTCAAGAAGAGAAGTGATATAAGGTTTCACCTAAAAGTTACACTTGAGAATTCTTTTTGCTTTCCTTTATTCTGTAGTTATGTTAAGAATCAAAGATTTCTAGGAAGTAGAATTGTAACTCTTAAATATTCAACTTTAGAAGTTATTTCCTTTTTGCCTTTTTATTATAATGGCTTTATCTTGTTTAAAAATTGACTGTTTTTGGGTGCCTGGGTGGGTCAGTCAGTTAAGCGTCTGACTTCAGGTCAGGTCATGCATGATCTGATGGTTCGTGGGTTCGAGCCCTGCGTCGGGCTCTGTGTTGACAGCCAGCTCAGAGCCTAGAGCCTGTTTCTGATTCTGGGTCTCCCTCTCTCTGACCCTCCCCTGCTCGCTCGCTCGCTCTCTCTCTCTCTCTCTTTCTGTCTCTCCCCCCGCCCCCTCAGAAATAAAACATTAAAAAAAACAAAAACAAAAAAAAGATTGACTGCTTTGGAATTAATATGGGTTACTTGTGAAAAAACAAACTTAACAATTGTAGGTAGTGTGTAAGGTCAAGGGAAAAAATATAGTATTGATCATTAATTCATCACTCTAATTAGATTTTTTAATTGTATAGATTTGCCTGAATTTTATATTTTATATTTTATTCTTTTCACTCTTAAACCACCTCTTGCCTTTTTCTTTTCTTTTTCTTTATTTTTTAAGTTATTATTTTTTAATAATCATGTGGTTTGGCAGATTTGCTAAACTTGACCAGTAGTCAGTGCTGAGGGAACTAATCACAGTGTGTGATTTTTAAGGGATTTTAAGTACAATTCAGTATATCTCACCAAAGTAGATTTGAGAGCTGTAATTACCCTTTCAAAATGAAATTGGTAGAAATAGTAGGGATGATTTTCAGTACTTTAATTCTTATACCTTTAAGATATATATACATTTTTAATATTTTTTTTCACATTCACATGAACCTGTACTTAATTTCAGTGTATGGAATATTCATTATACAAATGAAATTAATGAGAAATGTTTTAATCTAGAGAATGCAGCACTCTCCTGATCTAATGAGCTTTCTGATGGAGTTGAAGATGGTTTTGGTAAGAATTTGTTTTCTAATCCTTTTGCCATGTTCTTTAAGTCTTGATGTTTTAAAAACTTCTTTTAAAAACTAACATCATTGGAATTTAAAACTTCTCAACTCCCAGTCACTTAATGTTTTGTTTTACTGTGTGTGTAAATGTGGATGATGCCTTTTTTGAATTGCATGAAGAACAAATGTGTACAGGAGCCAATTTGAGTATGTCATAAAATGGGTACATTTGATACTAGTCTTGGACAAGTGGTGAAGAAATAAAATCTACTCCTAGTTTGTTAGAGAACTTAATTCTATGGAGAGACCACCACACTTACAAATGTATGTATACATTTGTATAGAGCTGTAGATTTCTGAAGAACTTGTTAGGCTTCATTGCATATATACATTCATATATAGTAGTTGATTATTTTGTTAATCACTTATGCATAAAATATTGAGTCTTTAGTTTATCCTATAGACACTGTATTATTTACAAAATGGTTATGCAAGTTTTCAACATAAGCAGAAGAGGGAAGACTGTACAGTGAATACTGATGGGCCCATGACCTAACTGACATCTTGCCATTTCTCTTGCACTACTCTTTGAGGAGAAATGGGCTAGAGTATTTTTAAATCCTGGACATTGTATCCATCGATGAATATATTGGTGGATAATTCTAACAGCCAAGTGGGTTTTTTTCTTTAATGTTAAATGTACTATTATAACCCCGACAAAAGTAGTGATAATTTCTTACAGCTTCTGTGTTTGTATCTGTATCAGAATAAGGTCCACACTTTTTATGTGTTGATATATCTCCTAAGTCTCTTAATTTCTAGCAGCACTTCATCTTTTCCCTACTCTTTTTTTTTTCATGCCATTTACTTGTTAAATAACCTAGATTATATGTCCTATAACATTTCTTGCATTCTGGATTTGGTTTTTTAGATATTCATGATTTCTTTTAACATATTCTACCTTTTGTAATTCGGTCTCAACAGAGTTGGGTTCGTTTGTTTTGGTAAGAATACTTTGTGTTGTGTACTTAGATTGCATGAGGGAGGCACATAGAAGCTGATAATTCCTCTTTTTGCAAAGTTAAGATTGATCAATAGATTTAGATCTTTTGAATATAAAGTTTCTTATTAGCCTGTCGTCACCTAGTGGCTTTAGCATCCAATAATAATCATTGCAGATGGTGATTTTAAAAATTCTGTCATCTACATTTATTATCTGTAGGTCTGTAGAGAAGAACTTCCCTTCATCAGTTATTCGGTTAATTTGAGGTATAGCTCCTATTGGAGAAATAGGTTAAGTGCTTGTTTCTTTTCCTTTTTGAAAACAATCAATTTTTAGAGTAATGAGTTAGTGCCTAGCAACTGTCAAAGAGAACTAATGATTTTTTTTTTTTGTATCATTAAGAACTCATGGGTTTTTATATATTGACTTTAGTCCATTGCAGTCACTATACCTTTTGATGCTTAAATTGTTATCATTTTTGGTCAGTGCATCCTCTTTCATCTTGGCTTCTTAGTTCTTTTAACACAGCCCAAACTTTTCTTTTTGACACCAGTTGCCCCAGTTTAATTTACTCCTCCTCTTGCAGAACTATAATCAGTTACTTGTCCAAAGAACCATGATTTCTTTGTAGGAGATGGTGTTTGAACACCACAGATCTAGAAACTGGAATGTTCGTTGCCATTACTGCTAGGTCTTTTCAGTGGACAAAGCTAGGAAAAAATACTGTTTAGAAAGAATAATTCATCATGAGTTCATATTGATATTTCCACTTCAAATTTGGCATTATAGCATTTTTACTTTGATATTAATGCTTGTATTTCTTTTTCTCTGACAATCTTGGTTTCGCATATTAACAATTATTTTTTTATGTTTTACTTCTGCTTTTCCTATATTTCTATATTTACATTTGTCTTACAGAATTACAGCACTGATATATTGCTACTAACAACTGAAAGCAGTTTATTTTTTTGTAGTTCTTTTTGAGTTTTTTATTCTTAGTAGCAGCTGCCACATGCTTAGTTGCTAGTTGTTGAGTCCTTTTTTAATCCTCCTAACAAGCCTTTGACGTAGGGCTTTGGTCAAATGTTTGGGATCAAAATAAATAGTTTAAAGTCAGTTTCTAAAGTTTGACTTATAAATTCATAAACCCTAACTAATAAGAATTATCAAAATTGATTAGGAATTTCATCAAAAGCCAAAATATGATAAAGATGAGGTGAAGATGTGAAGCAAATTTGGTTCATCCTTGACATTGCAAAAAAAAGCCTGAAAAGTTGTTTTTAATCTTTTTAGCATACTTTTAAAAATGGCACAAATAAAAGGACTAAGGAACCAAGATAAAACTATATATACTGTGTCCTATTTGGCTCTTAATTACTGAAGCTAACTTTATTAGGTTGTAAGAACAGCTCTATTTAATTTTGAAGAAACATTAATAACTTAATGTTTATTTTTGAGAGAGAGAGAGAAAGAAAGAGAGAACATGAGCAGGGGAGAGGCAGAGAGAGAGGGAGATACAGAATCTGAAGCAGGCTCCAGGCTCTGAGCTGTCAGCACAGAGCCTGACATGGGACTTGAACTCATGAACCGCGAGATCATGACCTGAGCCGAAGTTGGACACTTAACCAACTGACCCACCCAAGCGCCCTGAAACTTATTAGTTTAAAATATTGACCTTGATCTCTGATTAACAGTATTCTGTTTAGTACATTTGTTACTGCGTTGCTAAATAAAATGACACACTGTATTTTAGCTTTCTAAAGAAATTGACAGAGTTGGTGATACTGTTGCACATTTATGAACAGCATACCTAAGAAAATAAGAATTGCATTAGTTTATTTGTTGGGCTGTGTTGTCAATAATAGGGCTCCTATAACAAAATCACCAGTGTCCAAATGAAATCAGTAGTTATTGAACCTTTTCAGGAAATTTGGTAGATCTCCACAGAGTTTCCTAGTAATAACTAGGCATATGGTGGTTTAGTATATATTTAATAAGTGAGCATTTACCTGTGTTTTAAAAGAACTCTGATGTGGGTAGGTTTTTTTAATTCCTCTCTTAGGGCTTAGTCACTGAGTAGCTAAGGCCTTACAATACGAAATGGTAAAGTTAGAATTTAAACCCTACGTAAAGCTTGTGTTCTTTCTACTACGTGTCTTGCCTCTTCTCCACAAAGAATGCTTTGCTTCTCTGCCTGGGCTCCTTTTCCTATTGTGATGTGGTTCTGGGATTGGAGACACTTGTCTGATTCAAGGTAGAAGGTAGAGTTTACAAATATTATAAACCTAGGGTTAAAATACGTTTTTAAATTTATCTCTTAGACTGTGTGTGAGTGGGGGGAGGGGCAGAGAAAGAGAGAGGAGAGAGAGAATTCAAAGCTCTCAGCCTAGAACCCTATGCGGGGCTTGAACTCACGAACCGGGAGATCATGACCTGAGCCAGAATCAAAAGTTGGTCGCTTAATTAAGTGAGCCACCCAGATGCCCCCAGAATACATTTTTATTACTATCCAAACTTATTTTTACCTTCAAGGCATGTGGATGGAGAGCAGTATTTAATTCTGGATTTAAAACGTCGAAAGAAACACTGAAGCTGTTTTATATATATGTATAGGAAGTACACTGACTTTTTTTTTTTTTTTTTACAAATAGTTTATTGTCAAATTAGTTTCCACATAACACTCAGTGCTCATCCCCAAAGTGCCCTCCTCCATGCCCATCCCCCTGACTTTTTTTAATAACAGGATAATCTTAGTAAAAATTTATTTTTATGGACCATCAGGCAACTTACAGATAATATGTTAGGTATTTAGTTCATTAAAAAAGCTGTGTACTCCTTGTCTAATTAAATCTGAATTGACATTTTGGGCTTTACAGACCTTTCAAAGTTTTGTTGTTGTTTGTTTGTTTTTGCTTGTTTTTATACGAAAGCAGATTTAGAACTGTGTTAATTTCAGTTAATAGTCCTGATTTTGAAATACTGTTATGTAAAATTTATCTTTTCTAGTATTCTCTCAATTTAATAGTATCCTATCCTTGTTTTAAAAAAAAATAATATATATAATTAATATGTTATATATTATACATATACTGATATTAATATATAGTATGTATTATACATATACATATACTATATACTAATATATATTATATATATATTTAAAGGAATAACACTTAACACCTTTTATTAGGGTTACAGGTACATAATTTTCATACTTGTTCTCATCTGTTTTTATTATTTATTGTATTTGACTTCTTAAAAAAGCAGTGGATCTCTTTTAGTATTCCAGACCATATGTACATCTGTAATTTGCAGATACATTTATTTTTCACTTTCCAATTAAGATATTTGTCTAGGTTTGCACCCCTGACGTAATTGATAATATTCAGGCCCAGCAATTCTAATGATGCTAGTATTGCTTGAAAAAAAAGTTTTTCTTAGTTTTTCTTAGGAGGTACATAAACCATCCTGAAGATATATGGGTGGGCCTCCCAGGGAAAGGAACTGTGATCTAGCCAGATAGATAAAAAAATCACTTAACCTGGTCTAGGAGTAATAAAGAATGTTAAGTCAGTAAAAGAAAGTAGCAGGTGAGTATTTACTGTAAAAATAAGGAGGTTTTGTTTGTAAGGGTGGGATTCGTAACTGTATACAAATATATCCATCTAAACATTGTACTTAAAATTCAGGCTTTTCTTAAAGGCACATGTTTCTTTGTATCAAAACTGTATCCATAGTAATAGAAAAATGGTGAAGCATTGTTTTTGTTTTTTGTTTTTTTTAAACTCATCTCTGATAGGCATAAGAGTCTAGGAAAAATATTTGATGTTTTAATGGTATAATAATTGATGTTTTCATATAACCTTCAATGCAGTCCCTCAGCTTTTTCAGGTTTCTTTATAGGAGACAGGGAATGATTCAGCTGGAATGTCTATGAAAGTAATGGACACTTGAGTTAGCCACAAAGGAAATTTTGAAATTGTTTTGTAATTAGGTACTAACAATTCACTGTCTAGCATTCCAACCGAGATTCAAGTTTTTTCTTTTACACAGGAAGTTGCTTTAAAGAAGAGACGGGAGTTGTGTCCACCACCACCTCCTCCCCAGTTCTACTCAAGCCTTATTGAAGAGATAAGAACTCTTGGTTGGGACAAGTATGTCTATCTTAAAATGTTTCAGAAGAACTCTTGGTTGGGACAAGTATGTCTATTTTAAAATGTTTCAGAAGTTTTTTTTTTTTTTTTAAAATGCAATTCAGTCAGTATATTTGCAATATATGTACGTTTTTGCCGTTTATACATTTTTTAGTCAAAGTGGTTATAATTAGGGTAACTGATCATTATTGTGGCTATGAATTAAAGGGATATAATTTTAAACAAACTGATCTACAAGGTAAAATACTAAATATAATTTGGAAAAAAATAACATTTTTATATACAAAATAAGATGCTACCATATTTTTACTGAACAGAAAAATATAGTTTTATTGAGGTATAATTGACAAAGAAGATTATAATATTTTTCATGTGTAGAGTATGATGATTTTGATTTATATGCACATTATGGGAGGATTCCTTTAAACTCATTAACATATCCATCATACTTGCCTTTTTTTTTTCCTGACATTTTTTGGGCCATTGTTCTTGTGGCTGTTATGGAAGAGAGACTTTTAGGAACTTCTTACTGCCGTTGTCACTGATATCACTCAGTATATTTACTGCCATTTTCACTGACCTCTTGCTGTATGTTTTCTCTTTGTCTTACCCGTTTTCTTGTTTTTCCTCTCCCATCTGCATTCACCTGCCTGTATTTGAAATAATCAAGAATTTTATTATTTTTTTATTCTATTAAGTTGTCCTACATTCTTTTCTTATTCTTCTAGAATTGCCTTAGAATTCACAACATACATATAGCAAAATATACATTGTTACTTTTACCACTTTTCTTATAAAACTCCTTAATGTGTTTTCTCGCTTCTTTACATGTTGTGTTATTGTCATCATACATTTTAATTCTCTATTTAAAACTGGCAAGCTTTTTTTTTTTTTTTTTTTGAGGAAGAGAGAGTATGCATGAGCGGGGGCAGGGCAAAGGGAGAGGGAGAGAAGGAGGGGGAGAGGGAGAGGGGGAGAGAGAGAGAGAGAGAGAGAGAGAGAATTCTAAGTGGTGTGGAGCCTAATATTGGGCTCAAACTCACAATAGTCAGATCATGACTTGAACTGAAATCAAGAGTCGGATGCTTAACTGACTGAGCCATTCAGATGCTCCCCAAATTGGCAAGCTTTTATGATTATATTTAAAGTCAATATATGTATTTGTCCCAGCAACAGTTATTTCTCCCAGAGTTCTTCCCTCCCTGCATTTCTGTCCTTCTGTCTGGAATCTTTTTCTTCTGACTCAAGACTTCCTTTTAATGGCACTTGTGGGGATGAGCACTGAGTGTTATATGGAAACCAACTTTACAATAAATTAACTAAAAAAATCCAGATAAAGTAATAAAGAAGTTCAATTATCTGATTAAAAAATAAATAAATAAACATTAAAAGTTTTTTCTGAAAGAAAAAAAAGACTTCCTTTTAGTATTTTTTTTTAAATTTTTGAGATCTAATTGACATATAATACTAGTTTCAGATATACAGTGTAGTGATTTGATGTGTATATTATGAAATGATCACAGTAATAAGGCTAGATAACATCCATCATCACACATACTTACACAGTTTTTTTTCTTGCGAGGAAAGCTATCAGGATTTACTCTCCAGGCACCTGGGTGGCTCAGTCAGTTGAGCATCTGACTCTTCATTTTGCCTCAGGTCATGACCTTAGGGTTCATGAGATGGAGTCCAATGCTGTTAGTATGGAGCTTCTTGGGATTCTCTCTCCTCTCTCTCTTCCCCTACCCTACTCATGTTCACTCTCTCTTTTTTTATTTCTTGAAATCAAATATTTAAAAAATGTACTTCCAAATATATAATGCGGTATGAATTATAGTCACTGTGCTTTACATTACATAACTGGAAGTTTGTGTCTTTTTGCCACCTTCACTTGTTTCACCTCTGCCTCTGGCAACTACCAGAGCATATTTGAGCCCCGTATGGTTTTATTATTTTTTTTTTTAAAGATTCCACATACAAGTGAGATCATGTAGTATCTGTCTGTCTTCTGTCTGACTTGTTTTATTTAGCATAATGCCCATAGGTCCATCTATGGTGTCACAGTAGCAAGATGTCCTTTTTTATGGCTGTGCAGTATTTCATTGTATATTTGGTGTATATAAATGTATCACATTTTCTTTGTCCATTCATTCTGTCAGTGGATACTTAGGTTGTTTCCATGTCCTGACTTTGGCAAATATTGCTGCAGTGAACTTGGGGATGCAGATATCTCTTCAACATAGTGACTTTGTTTTCTTTGGATATATACCCAGAGGTGGAATTGCTGAATCATATGGCAGTTCTATAATAACGTTTACAGATAATTTTAGAATGTATCCAGATTTATAATTGCTGTATCATCCGGTGGATTTTCCCTTTTATCATTAAATGTTTCTTTTTGTTTCTGGCAATACTTCTTGCCTTAATGTCTACTTGGTTAGATATTAGTGTAACTACACAAGATTTCAGTGCTTTATTAAAATTCTCCATCTTTTCCCCTATTTCCTTTCATAGTTGTTTAAAAATACCTTTCTACTAATCCCATAATCTGGATCCATCAGAGTTTGTTTTTAATATTTTTCTTGTAGTTTTTAGTTATATAGTTAGTCCTGGATCTTGGCATTCCTACTACTTTTTTTTTTTTTTCCTGTATTGTCTGTCTGTCTGCCTTCTTCCTTTTTAGAGCAGTTTGAGGTTCACAGCAAGATTGAGAGGAAGGTACAGGGATTCTTCTTTGACATTTTGTACCTATGTATGTGTAGACTGCCCTGTGACCTCCCCACACCAAAGTGGTACATTTGTGATAATGGATTGGCTTTTATCAACACATCGTTATCACCCCAAAACCATACTTTACATTGGGGTTTAACTCTTGATCATATACATTTTATGATTTGGACAAATGTTAAATGACCTGTATCTGCCACTAATGTATTCTACAGAACAGTTTCACAGCTCTACAACTCCTCAGTGCTCCAAGTATCCATCCTTCTCTTCTCCCCTAATCTCTAGCAGCCTCTGGTCTTTTTATTGCCTCCACAGTTTTGGATTTTCCAGAATGTCTATAGTTGGAATCCTACAGTATGTAGCCTTTTCAGATTGGCTTCTTTTACTTAGTAATATGTGTTTAAATTTATTCTTAGTCTTTTCATGGCTTGTTAGTTCATTTGTTTTTACCACTGAATATAGTTCCATTGTCTGAATATACCAGTTTTATTTATCCATTACTAAAGGACATCTTGGTTCCATCCAAGTTTTGGCGTTACAAATAAAGCTGCTATAGACATCTGTATCTAGGTTTTTGTGGCTTTTTTTTTTTTTTTAAATCTACATTGGTAAATACCAGGACCTAGCTACTTTTTTTTTTTCTTAAGGTTTTATTTAAATTCCAGTTAACATACAGTGTAATATTAGTTTCAGGTGTACAGTATAATGATTCAACACTCTCCTACACCATGGTGTGCTCATCACAACCAGTGGACTCCTTAATCTCTCCTACCTCCCCTCTGGTAACTATTAGTTTGTTCTCTATAGTTAAGAGTCTGTTTGGGGCACCTGGGTGGCTCAGTCGGTTAAGCGTCCAACTCCAGCTCAGGTCATGATCTCGCGGTTCGTGGGTTCGAGCCCCGCGTTGGGCTCTGTACTGACAGCCAGCTCAGAGCCTGGAGCCTATTTTGGATTCTCTGTCTCCCTCTCTCTCTGACCCTCTCCTGCTCACGCTGTTTCTCTCTCCCTCTCTCAGAAATAAAGCATTAAAAAAAAAGAAAGAGTCTGTTTCTTGATTTGCCTTTTTTTAAATTAATTTTTTTGCTCATTTTTTAAATTGCACACAAGTGAAATCATATGGATTTGGTCTTTCTCTGATCTGTTTCACTTAGCTAATATTCTCTAGCTCCACCCATGTCATTGCAAATAGCAAGATATCATTCCTTTTTATGGCTGAATAATATTCCATTGTATATATATCATATCTTCCTGAACCATTCATCAGTCGATAAGACACCTAGGCTGTTTCCATAATTTGGCTGTTGACAATTCTGCTGTAAACATTGGGGTTCATGTTTACCTTTGAATCAGTATTTTTGTATCTTTTGGGTAAATACCTAGCAGTGCAATGGCTGGGTGTAGGGTAGTTCTATTTTTAACTTTTTGAGGAACCTCTGTACTGCTTTCCAGAGTGGCTGCACTAGTTTGTCTTCCCACCAATAATGTAAGAGGCTCCCCTTTCTCCATATCCTCCCCTAATACCTGTTGTTTTGTGTGTTGTTGATTGTAGTTATTCTGACAGGTGTAAGGTGGTATCTCATTGTGGTTTTGATTTGTATTTTTCCCTGATGATCAGTGATGTTGGGCATCTTTTCATGTGGAGTAGTACTTTTTTTTTTTAACAGTAAAGAGAAAGGGATTTTTCTTTATTTTCACAAAAGAATGACTTGAATACTCCATAACAACAACAAAAATGTAAAACCTGAAATCTCTTGGTCTCTACTTCACAAGATGATTGCTTTTTCTTAAAAAACAAAAAACTGGTAAAAGGGGAGAAATGAAGAAAGGACTTAATTTGCGCACATTTTAGTTAATGCATCTTATTTCCCTGACTCTTGCAGGATGTTCTTCAGTATTTGCCCTTGTTCATTAAGGCTGCAGTGCTATGCTTGGTAATCTTTTTTTGAGTGTTAGAAATTGTGTATAAAAGAGTTGAGACGCTCTCGAGAGGACATTTTGTTTTACAAAGAGGTTACTTTTTCATGTAAGAAAGAGTGGGGGTAGGTTTTTGTAATCCTATTAAAGACTGAACTGGTTCAGTTGGGTTATATAGTCTTTGTAAGATTCATTGTAGTGCTTACCTCTCCCTCCCCTCTCCTAAGCTATAAGGCTTCAGAACTTTCAAGCTGGAGCTAGATGTGTTCACTGCAATTTCTCCCTTGGTATATCCTAAACTCTTATGTGTCTGTTTTTATTTTTTAAGTTTATTTATTTTTGAGAGAGAGACAGAATCC